AGCCCCAACTCGCTGGATCCGAACCCCGTCTTCCTCCGTGTGACCCGACGATGCCCACGTGCACAGAGGCCTCCCCCGGCTTGAGGGGGGGGGGGGGGGGAGCGGTGCTTCTGACCGGGAGCCAGAAGTCATCACCACCACCACGCCCAGCATCACCGCTGGACTCGCTAATGCTTCTGTGGCCGAGAGGAAGAAAATCCCCGCAGCCAAGTTCCCGAAATCCTTTTGAAAGCCTTCCCAGAAGAGCGGAGGTTGTTACAGCAGCAGATTAATTTAATAGCTGTGGTGGGGGAGAGGAGGGAGGGAGGGGGGCAGCCGGTCCTTCCAGCAGTCAGTAGGCATGTTGGAACACCAGCTGGATTTGTGCACATTCAGACTACATCTTCGAATGAGGTGTATTTCACCGTCAGCGCGCCTTTCTGGTCTGGGATTCGTTGCGGCGATGATTTCCGCTTCCACAGGTTCAAAAACATAGCGTACGTGACCGTAAACATCTGGCAGCACACGGACGAATGAACCACAAACCCCACATATAATAAACATGGCCTCTTGCCCCCAGGAGAGTGTTACGAATCCCACGGGACCCCCAAAACAATCTCCCTCATGCCCAAACCTGAAGCCACCAATCAGAGGCGGAGGAGGGTCACGCCTCGGCCTCGGGCCCACCTTCTCCAGAGGCCTATCAAACGTGGAGGGGGTGGAGGGGTGCTCCGCCCTTCATTGAAGACGGAGAACCCTGTATTACAGACTCACACACCACATGCGCCTCGCTGCTAATCACAGTTTGAGGACCAGTCAGCGTAAATGTGTTTTACTGGGTTCGTAACGCTCTGGAATGAGCGATGTGGACGAGCACGAGGTCGTCGGAGGTCGTCAGTCCTCCCGCAGGCCCGCTGCTCAACAAACCCCCCCCCCCTACCCGCCCCCCTCCGAGTGCTTACAGTGAGCACACACGCTGTGTTTACCGAGGTACTCGCGGGCTAATTACCACCTCATCACTCACCTCGTAGTCCACCTCCAGCGAGTGCCCCTCCCCCTTGGCGTGGAAGTGCTGCGTGTGGGAGTCCACCGTCAGGTTGACCTGTTTGTTGAAGCGCTCCACGTGGACCGCGTGCCACTGCTGGTCGTCCAGCAGGCTGCCCACGCTGACGGCCACGCGGCCGCCGCCGAGCCGCGGCCCGCTGTCGTCTGCGGAAAAAACGCAGCCGTGCCGCGGGATTACGCACACGTACGTGTTCCAATTCCAGCGCGTATTCAGTGGTCACGTGGGACTAAATGCGATGGAATGACTGTTTTATACTGTTATGCAGAACGCCATTCGGACGTTTGGTTCTCGCTGTTTGCGTTCGGCCTGGAGGAGTCTCATCTCGTCTGAGATGGACGGATGGGAGGGACAGAAGGGAGGGGCTACCTAGGTTGAGGTAGAGGTCCAGTCGTCCGCGGTGGAGCTCCAGCGTCATGTAGTCCCCCCGCTGCCCCTCCCCGTGCAGCAGGACGCCCTCGGCCTGGTGGCTCTTGAAGCGCAGGGAGACCACGTCCTTCACCGTGGACATGGACTTCTGGTTGAACCGGTACAGCAGGGAGCTTCTGCCGTCGAAGTCGGCCACGTACGACTCTTGGCGGGGGGGAGACACAAGCGCTCGTTCATCAGCTTGTGTATTTGATCCAAAGAAAGTCAGAAGCATCGTGACTCACTGGCCGAGTGTCGTGGGGTCACTTTGTTATTCGTATGATGGACAACAGATAACTGACAAGGATTACTATGTGGTAAATAATATCATTCTATAATAAGCTGCTGTATCGTGAGTAAACTCAATACTCCAGCTGATGAATTTGAATAAAGTGCTTAAAATGTGTAATTATGCTGATGAAGATGAATGCGTATTTTTGAGTGCTATATGACTAACAACATAACGCAGAGCGCTGATTCTAATACATGTTTAAAATAAACAGCGTCAGACAGCTTGCGATGTATTATATAGAAATGCACAGAAAGTGTTACCACAGTCAATCAGTCTGCAGGGTTGTGCTCATAATTCAGCCCGTATTGATTTATGATTTGAAAGCAACATCGTTTTCCATTAATCCGCCCAGCACAGCAATTCCATTTCAGTATTAACCGTTAATTACTAAATCACATGGGTGTTAAAACACAAGACAGTTCATAATGATGGTAACAAATGACTGTTCTGTCATTAGGGGGAGTGTTCAGGCTCTAATCTCACTTCAGATGGAGCCCCCCCGCCCCCCATTGATCGCAGCGACGCCAGCTACAGGATTCAGCATCCGGCGTGAAGATCCTCGCGGGGCGGGGAGGGGGCGACATTTGATTTAAAGCACGACACAACCGCCGGCCGCCGGAGCGATCTGAGGGGGGAGCGTTTCCCCAGCGCGTTAATCCCGCTGCTCGCCTGGTTATCGCCCGTTAGCGCCGGCGGATCCCCATTAGCTTCACGCGCAAACGTCTCGTTGCGATTACACGGCGCACCTTTCACGCGATTATTCGATTATACTCTGCACGCTGTTTGATAACTCGATGGTACGGCACCAAAGGACCACCTCCGCACACCGGGGGGCCTCTGGATGAAACCCCCCCCCAGTGAAGACGCAGAGCCTGGACGTCAAACCGCGGATTAGCTTTCCGCTTCAGAGGCTCTCGTATTTCCATTATCTTCTCAAATATGTCCCTGGAAGGTAACACGCTGCCCCCCCCCACCTCCCAACGGAATAACTACATCTTTAATGGGGGGGCACTTTGACTCGTTTATGGGGCTTAATTACCGCCGGTGTGCTTGTTCTCTTGTTATTTACGATTTGTGTCCCTCAAACATTTACACAGTCCTCCGTGAGGACGTTTTGTCCTTGTGTTTTTTATGTGTTCAGCTTCCTGCGTCTTTCTGCATCCGCGCCTGGCATTTCTTCAGCGTCCCCCCCCCTGGTCTCCGTCCTCCCTCCTGTCCCCTGTGCGCTGTGCATTGTCTAGCTGTGTTGACGCCTGTCTGATGTTTGGAGTTATTGCTTTGTCTCCAGCTGCCTCCTAGCGGCTCCACTTTGTGTGTTCCTTTCAGAATAAAACGTCTTCCCCTCAGTGTCTCCTGCCCGTCTCCGTATCTCGGCCCACCTGCCAGCCAACCACGTAGAACCGCAGAAAAAAAGATTCATATCTCAAGGTCTCCTGTTGACATTCACCCTGAGCTGCATGCATCTGTCTCCATGTGTGTTAAGACGCGAGTACTCACTGTAGGAGCAGCCGTACGCCTCCACCCGCAGGCCCATCCAGCCGCTGGGGTTCCAGTCCAGGGGGACGAAGCGCAGGAAACGCGTGCGGACCGAGTGGGACAGCTTGTTCTGGACCACGGCCTCCGAGTTGACGTTCCCCGCGAAGCTCTGCGGGAAGACGGAGGGACCAACAGATTGATGCGGCGGCGCGGCAGAAAGCGACCTCCGAATCCTTAAACGGCACGGACACCGACCAAACGCACCAAATTCACCCCTCGGGGCAGCCGGAGGACAACTGTGCACCACACCAAGCCAGGGGACATAAACAAAGGGGGGGGAAGGGGGGAGGAGGGGAGACAAACAACCTCCCCCCCTCCCCTCCGGTGAGTGATCCACCGGCTCCTTCATAACCGACACCAGACAGGTGACATATCGGATCAATAAAAGCTGCCGCTGCAAACAAGTACACTCCGCTCACAGTGGGCGGGCTTCTGTGGACGGCTGAACCCGGTCAGACGGAGGTACACAGTTACCGCTCGGGGGTGTCCGAGCGCCGCCGCCGAGCGGGAGCGCCATTAAAAGGGCCGCCGGGGTGCAGCTACGCGCCGGGAAATCACCGCTCGGGCTCTCGCCGTGATTTATGCCATTCGGAGCCGTTCATCGAGCGGCGAGGGACTCGCGGCTGCACGGGAGGGATTAACCAACGGCGCTCGGGCTCCTGCGTTGGGCCGCCGGTAGGAAAGCGACGCGCGCAAGATACTGAAGAAAACGTCGCCCAAATGCTTTCAATCAAAAAGGAAGAAATAGTGTCAAGTGTTTTTTTTTTTAGGGGGGTGGGGGGGTCAAATTGATGGAACTCGTGTTCCATCGCTGCACGCCGTCCTCGCTGTGGCCTGTGGCGACCTGTGACCCCCCCCATGTGACGACCCGTGATGCGGCGGCGAGCTTCGACGCGATTTGAACACACGGCACGGGTCAAAAGTTTGGACGCGCTCCCTCGTTGGGGCACGAGAAGACGCGTCCACACGTCTGAGTGGGACACGCGTGGTGTGTGTGGTCCACAGGAGCGCTCTCTTTGCAGCCATGTTTCTTTGTGTCACTTTGTCGTCTCTCTGGTGTTTTATTGTTGTTCGGTTTGTGGCTGCTGTGAGTCTCTCTAGTTGCTTTGTCTTCCTTTGTGGTTATTTTATCCTTTTTATAGTCTAATAATTCTGTTTCTCTCCGGTTGCAGATTTTATTCATCTCCTTCGTTTTATTTTTCTTTAAGTGCCCTGGTAAGTGTTGTGTATTTCTTTTGTGTCTCTTTGTAGTTTTTGGTATTTTCATGTAATTTTTGTCTGCGGTCATTTTCTGGTGTTTAGCGTCTCTTTATAGTTTCTTTGTATTCTCCTTGTTGTTTGGCATCTTTCTGTAGTTGTAATGGTCTCTTTTAGTCTCCTCCCGGTTGCCATGACTACCCAACCCTGTCAGTTCACGGCGCGCGTACGTCCGCGTCCTCCCGTTTGCTGTTACAATCATTAGACCCGTCTTTCCACACGACTCCCGGGCTGAATGTGGGGAAAAAAAAAAGATCTAATGAGGCAAACAAACCCTGATTAAAGCTGCGCTGCAGCGACTCGCGGCTCCTCGTCTCGCCGTCGGCCATCAGTATTCCGGGGCGGCCGCCGCACCGCGAGAGCCCCGCCGGGGCCGAGCGCCGCGTCTGTTTTTGTTTCCTCTCTGGCAAACAGAGCATCCTGTGTGTGCGCTTCAGCCGGGAGGCGCCTCTGAAGGAACCCCCCCCCCCCCCCCCCCCCCCGAGGGTGCAGAAGACTTCCCCCGAGGCCGGTCCTCATCCGCCCCCCTAACCCCGCCGTGACTTCATTATGTCTCCGTCTCTGTGACTGTCCCCCCTTCCCTTCATTATCACTCTTTACTCTCCCTCCCCGGTGACCAGCTTCCCGGGTGTCACTTTTCCCGCCGTGTTGCACGCGGCGCAGATGCGTGCGTTTGTTTTAATCAACCCGCGGGGAGGGGGGGAGGGGGGTGAATCCTGCTGCCGGCGCTGAGTACAGCATGTTTCTCAAAGGTCACCGGCCAGTTAAACAGCCTGTGGGGGGCGTGACCTTGCGGTGGGAGCGCTGACGTCCTCGGGCCCTCCCGGGGAAACCGCCGCGCCGCAGCCCCGGGTCGGGTGTTTCCATGAGCCAAACGAGCAGCGAAAGGATGTGAATCACGCGTCCAGCCAACCGGCTGCAAGGTGGAGAAGAAGCCCCCCCCCCCCGCGCCCGTTACAGAGCGGCGGCCCCCCGGGGCCCGGGGCCCGGCGCCGTCCACGAGTGTATTTAGCGAGATTTGAAAAGCTACGCGACAAATAAAACCCGCCTGCTGGTTGTGGCGGCGGTTTCGGGCAGCGACCCCCCCCCCCCGGGACAGCGGTTCTGTCGCGCTCCGGGATTTGATGCAAATCAACAGGTTTGGACCTCGGCGCGGAGTGTGAGGGCGGATTAGAGGATCAGAGGCGCTTTGAAGCCCTCGTACGCGGCTGTGTGTACTGAAATTCAACAAAGTGTAATTGTTTCCCTTCGTCCAGACCGCACGGAGCCAACTAGGGGTGTGAAAGCACGCCGACCTCCGCTGGTTGGGACTTCACACGGAATGCAGCCGAGGCTCGTGGGTTATTTGCCGCTGAATCCTGTGAAAAACGTATTGTGGTCGTTGTATCACAGCCATCACTGGCGTCAGTCGAGTTCCCCCCCCCCCCCCCCCTCCCCCCCGTCAAGGGGTTGAAATCACAAGTTAGTATAAGATTCCACGCGCAGTGATGATACCAGATGCAATTACTCGGATAAAATCGCAATCGTGCAAAACCCATTTCAACCCTTGTTAGATTCCACCTGAACACCGACAGCCGCGGGAATGAACGCGCAAACTCCCCCCTCGTCCCTCGCGGACCGCAATTTGTTTCACGTTTATTCACACAGGCGCATTAAAAATAGATTTTTTCGTAATCAGGCTTTTCAAGGATAATGAAGGTAATCCGGGACCCCCCCCTGCTGGGACGCACTCCCCTTCCCGCCTCGGCGCATTCAAGTGGATTTGTAATGTTTTACAGGGAGTTTAGGTTGATCTAAACTCCCTGTAAGGCGGGCTGCTCTCCCGCTTTTAGAGGAGTTCACTCTAAAATATGTTAGACAGACATCCGAGAGTCATATCGGGCAAAAGAGTTGATAAAACACCACATTTCACCGCGTGCATGTTGCACACACGTGAGTTACTATCTCCGATCCGCTCCCCTGGCTCTCACTAATTAGGTTATTATCAGCTTGTAGAGGCGAAACCGTCACGTTGTTTCACATTTTGCCCGTGTGCTTCATGCGCCCATAACACTCCCACGGAGAGGAGGCGTTCACAGGAACACGCGCTGAGGAAGACGAGTGAATCACTAAAGTGCAACTAAGGGACAAACCGTGTCAACTTTCCCAATGTTTGCACACGACGAAGAGGTGCCATGCAAGTTACTGCCACAATGTGCTTGTTGGGCCAAAACGTGCCATTCTATGTATTATTTGTCCTCAGAGGACAAATATAATATATATACAACATATCTATTCATTTATGGAAAAGACGGTTGGAGTATATTAAATAATTCAGGAAACATTTATTGCCCAAATATGTCATAGGGGAATTTGACTTGAGACGACAAGACAGCAGTGCACGAGAATTAAAGTCAAATATAATGCTATGGGTTAGTTTAAAATATTATAAACTGACATGTGAGATCATCCACCACTGAGCCGCAACGAAAGCTGATGGACGAGGACGGGTTTGTTTCACATACCTTCCAGCAGGAGACCTTTTGTCCCCCCCCCCCCACATTGTTTTTATACCTCGTCTCTTTGCTAATTCGCTCCACGGTTAGTTAAGAACGGCGGTGAGCCAGCGGTCCGCCCAGCAGCTGCTGCCCCCTCATTAGCCGCCCCCCCCCCCGGTTTCCTCGGAGCTCCCCTTTTGAAAATGCAGACGGGGGGGGGGGGTCCCCCCCCCCCCCCCCCCCCCAAAAGGTCTCGCTGCGCGCCGGAGTCACTCAGAAGAAGAGATTTCGGGCTAATTAGCCGACACCGTTCACCCTCCGCTATATGAATGACAGCGTGAATCTAAGCTCCCACCAGCGCCCCGTTTCATTTCACCTGTTCAGTGTGTGGAAGACTCGCCGGTCGCCATGGTGATGAGCTCGCATCACGTCTCCGCTCCCCTCCTCGCTGATGACCGCCCGACGGGCACCGCGAGCAAACGCCTCACCGCGCTTTGCTTTGTTAAACGGGCTTTTTCGCGACACTTTTCCTCCGGTTTTACGGAGACGAACTAATCTCTGGTTAAATATTAAAAATGTCAACAGAAAGATCGCCAGGTGGTGCACGAAATCTGGTCCGAGCCGCTTGTTTGAGGCCCCTCAGCCCATCGGGGGCCCCCCCTCATCACGTCGCGCTCGGGATGTGTGTCGTTTGTTGTGTCGTGTTTCGAGTGTGTTTGCTGGAGCTGAATTGTTGTGCAAAACAAAATGAGTGTTTTGGGTGAGTAAAGAAATCCAAAGTACTCAACTCATTGTCCGACTGGTAAAAAAAAGGCTTTTGTCTCTTTGACCTGTGTGTGTGTGTGCGTGTGTGTCACCGGGGGCGGGGCTTACCGCGCTCACGTTGAAGGAAGCGCGATTCACTTTTCGATGTGGCGGTTCGACCCGTTTCAGCCCTGTCAGAACTGTCTTGTTAAGAGGCGTCAGGGGCTTCCAGGTAACCCGCACGCTTCTCAGGGGCTACCGGGGGCCCAATTACTGCCCCCCCCCCCCCCACCCAACACGCCTTCATCTTCAACCCTTTGTGCGTCCAGATTTTCTCTCCGAAAACATTCCTCCAACAAAAAGAAAAAATGAGCACAAAGAACGTCCTCGATGGAGGACGAGGACTCAATTAGGCTCCAATGATTCACCACGAGCTCCTTCTTTAACAAACCGCTTGGACTAAAGTAAATAGTGAGGTGAACCTTCAGAGAGCCGAGCTTAAGTCGCCGATTGGTTTTCTTAAGTGGTTCTGCTTTAAAACGCTGTGGCGCTTGTTACTTTGTGTGTGATCAAAGTGAAACATAATACATGTTTTTCCGTCGTCTCGCGGTGGACTTTTCACAGAGACGGAGGGCGATGAGGACACAAAGACAAGACTAATTGGACAGTTCGAAAAGACTCGCGGAAAGAAACGTTCGGCGACGTGACCGGGCCGCAACACCACGTCTCCGACCCGCGGGTCTGTGGTGAGGCGGCGTGACAAGGCGTCCGCTGACCCACTGAATCCTCCCCCCCCCGTCGACTCCCACTCTCGTTAGTGGATCCAGATGAGGGAGTTGATTGGTCATTAGGGGGGAGGGGCGGACCTTTTTGTTTCCTTCTGCTGCTGTTTTCAAATAAAGTGTTTGTCAACCATAATTAATAATGACTTGATGAGGAGGAATATTTAGGTGTTTTTTTAATTGGTTTCACTTTCGCTTTCATCCTGCATTTTTAATCCTGCCTGGAATCTGAGCAGGAATAATCTCACTGCAACTCATATTCTGCTGTTCTGCACAATTTGAATATCAACATTTTAGTTTGGTGATATTTATACATATTAATTTCGGCTTGAACAAACTTGTCAAGCCGTCACTGGTACCTTTTTATTTGCTCCCAGTTTTTAAACCAGGATAAATGATGATATGAAATGCTATCGGCCCTTGAACTCGTTTCAGAAGGACCGCCGTCCTTTCAGAAATCCATCCGGGCAGCAGCGAGCGAGCCGGCGACTCACCCCGACGCCGTCCTCGTGCCTGTACTGCTTCCAGGCTCGGCCCGTGTCGCTGTAGAGGAGGAGGTAGCTGCTGACCCAGTCCCAGCTGTCGAAGCGCCCCTGCGTGGCCACGGCCGTCACCTCCATCCGCTCCCGGAGGTCCACCTGGAGCCACGGCTCCTGTTCGGTCACGACGGGGGACCAGCCTCCGGCTCCTGGGGACAGACGGGCAGAACGTGGGCGCCGTGCTACCGGGTACGAAGGTACGGACGGGGGGACAAAGGGTTCATTCATGTCTTGTTTATTATCGGTTGATGTTAACTCAACATTATTTGAGCCCAGACCATCGTAGTTATCCTGAAATGTGGAATTGAGTTTGAAACAAGACTGCAAAATTCATCAAAAGCTTAAAAAAATATTAATTTTCAAATGTGTAATATATATGAAATGAAAGAGTGGGAGCTTCAGAGACGATTAGGACCTAAATCAATTTTTTTATATGTTTCCCCCCTAAAAATGAAAACAATTCAGTAAAGACAATGAAATAAAAAAGTACATTTTCAGTTAAAACATGAATATTGGGGGGATTCTTCTCCTGCACCCACCGTCTCTCCTGTTGAGCTTCCCGTTGTGAGCGGCGTAGCTGGCTGAGGACTGGGAGGAGCTCTGGAAGGACGACTGGGGCAGCGTGGACACCAGAGGGCCGCTGCAGCTGTCTGAGAGAGAGCACATCAGAGGCCGTTGACTTCCACACATCGAGGCGGGTTTTTCTTCATTGTTCATCCCATGTGGTTCCCCTTCAAATGCGTGATAAACCGTTCTGAGAGGTTCTTCCACCTTCGGCTGACTGACTTTAGGAGAATAAGGAGTTTAACGTGTCGGTTCTTTACCCGTCGGTGGGGGGGGGAATAACAGGGCTGCCTCACTTATCCAGTCCTCAGATAGCTCCGGCAGTCTATTAACCCATGCAGTGACCCCTGGAAGCTGCTCACAAAACACCACGGCCCCCTTTGTGTGCGCCCTTGTGCGTGTGTATGTGTGCGTTCTTTCTTTTTAATCCCACACGGTGTGAGATTACATCACGTCCGAGCGGCAGGAACAGATTAGGAGTCCAGCGATCTGGGCCCGGCCAGTCTCATCTACTTCCTATCCGGCCTTCCCCCGCCACAATAAGAGCGGCGGGTGGAACATCAGGCGGGCCCGTGGTGTGTGTGTGTGTGTGTGTGTGTGTGTGCGTCTGGATCAGGAGCCCCGTAATGACAACTGGCACCGGCCTGATTACAATTATCCCCCCCGAGTCTCTCCATCTCCATCAGCCGCCGTTTACTCCTCCGAGCGCGGCGCGTCTCTTTTAGTTTTTTCCGGGGATAGCGAGTTGGGGACGGATTCTGAGCACATCTGGAGTGGCGACGGGCCATCCGCCTGCTAGACAAAAGAGCACAGCGGCGCGGACGGCGTGAGCTCCCTCTCCTCTCGGCCGTCCCACCGAAACATTTTTTCGACTGACCTGATTTGGCGGCTCTCAGATCGCTCGCCAAGACATTTCTCTCTAATCCTGATTTCAAGTGTGACTAAAGTGGATCAAGCTGTTTAGTCCACGGACTCAAATTACGGCTGAGCTGCAGTTGTTGCGGATGTTCACTGGGGGGAACGAGGACAGCGGCGCGCCGTCTTACCGGAGGGCGGGAGGTCGTTACGCGAGCGGAGCCCCGCGGTGCTCGAGTCTCCCTTTCGATCCCCGAAGGATAAACGGCGCCGATCTGCTTATTCACCTCTCCGCCACGTGAATCCGGTCCATTCCACCCGCCCAAGAACAATGGCGCCGCGTCACATGACGTGTTACGAAACGCCTCACAATAACGTCAGTCAAAGTCTTTGGTTCTTCCTCGTGTTTTCTGGAGAACATCCATCCACGCCGCCCTCCTCGCCGCGGGGGAGAACCCGATCACCTCCGACCCCGCCATAATGAGGGCCGACCTCTCAGCTGACAGCTGGGGAGAAGTGGCACCCGAGATTTCCCCCCCCCCCGTGTGCATCTTACAGACGCGGGTTTTTGTTCACAGATTTGGCCACGAAGCGAACGGCCGGCTGTCAGTCAGGGAGGCTTATGGGGGAGGGGGGGGGGGGGGGGCTGCTCCCCGGCCTGGTCTGGAAGGCGGGAAATCCTCGGGGAGACGACTCCCTCGAACCCTTCAGGCCAATAAAATGGAACCCGACCCCCTGGGGGGTGGGAGGGGGGCCGTAATCTCCTTTGGAATCATAAGCGCGAGCGGCTTGCGGCTGCGCTCACAGGATGTGTTTTGGGGCAAAGATGCGTCGCGGTGACCTTTGGGGCGTGCGGCCCACCAGAGGTCGTCACAGATAAAAGGACATTAGGAAAAAACGTCACGTTGAAAGATGTCGCCCTGATTGTCTCATAGTGTGCGTTCAAATCTCTATAAATCTATTCATAGATATTTGTCCAGCTGCACGCCGTGGTTTTTAGGAAATGAGACTCAAAGGAGATCGAGTTAGCGAAGCACTGATGAAATTCTGAGACGAAACGATTTGGCCAATAAACAACATTATTTATTCCCCTTTCTGGCCGGAAATGTATTTTACTATAAAAGAGAACGGAGTTAATTTAGTCTTTCAGCTTGGAAATGTATTGAGTTCAAATTCAATCACACACATTTATCATAAAAGGTTCTTTTAAATATTAATCTTTGTATTCAATGATAACTGCTTCAAAGCCCCCCCATCTGTCACATGACCACCTTCTCAGCGGGAATGCAGAACAAGAAAAAGCTTCTTTTTGCGGAACATTCATTAAATGCAAATAGAATCATGAATAAGGAGGCAGAGTAACGATCCCACTGTGCGCTTTTTTTCCACCACAGCGGCCTCAGAGCGCCTTCCGATCCCCGAAGGACAAGCGGCGCCGCTCCGATCGGCTCATTCGTTTCTCTGCCGTGTGCCTGTGGTCCTTCATTCCCGCCTCCACGCGGCCGCGAAGAACAATGACTCTTTGAGAGCATTCATGAGCCAACGGGCCTGCGTCCGCCAGGGCGAAGGCCGACGAGCCGCGGCTCGCCACGCGCCGCCGCCGCCGCCACGCGGGCTCAATCATTTGTTGGCTTTTGTCTTTTCGTGGGATTTCTAGACAATAAAAACAAAAAAAAATGGAATATTGCCGCCTTATCTTTTAATGCCCTTTTCCCTACGCTTTCATTTCATAAAGAAAAGACGTCCTCGTCGATATCCACTCCCCCGGCGAATCAACATCTGTCAATCAACACCTGAGTAATTTCTCTGATTACTTGTGTGACTTTCAAGGACGAGGTGGACGTTGAAACAAACCAATGTGATCTCCGAAACCTGTATGTAAAAATGTATCCGAAAATCTTGATTTTCGGACAAATTCCTAACAATACGTAGGAACTGGCGGTGGTTAACCACGCCCCCTGAGTGAACAACATGGCGGACCATGTTGGATTCTTGAGTGAACGTCCTTCCGCCATGTTGGATTTTTTGAGGGGGTTAGGGTTAGGATTCTATTCTTAAGTTAACATTGATTTCTGGTTAAAAATGCAATCATAACACGTTTATTTTACATGGTTAGACTTCACAAAGTGTGTTTACGGGGCGCAGGTCCCCGTTCACTGTGAACAGGGCAGCTGCACAGACCCGAGAGCACGAAGGGGATGGAACCCTCACCCCGTCGTCACAGCAGGGGGGGGGGGGGGGCGGCGGCGGGACGCGCCCCCGGCCGGGCCTCTTTAACGACACGACTATACCCGCCTCCATCAGATAAACGTGGGCCGCCAATACAGTTCTCCTCCCGGACATCGAGTCCCGGGAAAATGCAGCTGGGATGTGAGAAAAAGGGATTTCCTTAGAAGGGAGCGTCAACAGAGAGCGTCCGAGGGAAGAGACGCAGCCGTGACTCCCGTCCTGTGGAATGAGTGACGTCCGACACAATAAGACGTGAAATAGAACAGAAGTAAATCACGTCCATTAATATGAAGCTATTCATGTTTTTTTAACAGTGAATTCTGTGCGCAGTAAGAATTCAGATCTACTGAATTCATGTTAATTATGTATCAAGACGGAGACATTTCTGTGCAAAATAAAAATACAGAATCCAATTTACTGTTTTAATATTCTTTCAGGACGTAAATATTTCTTCTTTCACAGCAAGAGAACTCATTATTTTTTACATTGAAAAGTACAGTCTGAAATGGACGTAAGAATACTTTCACGAGTGTGTCCTTGCACTTGACGTCCTCCATGAAGATCCATTGAGGTGTCTGTGTGTTGCGTAACCGCTTTATATCCAACAACTGCAAAGGATGTTTCTGTCCTTCAACTTATTTTCAGCATAATCATTTATTCGTTGATTTACGAAAAAGTGGTCCAATGAGAAACGAAGGATGAGAAACGTAACAAACCAAACGTCTGTGAGGAAACACCGGCGTGCGTTTTCAAAAAGCTCCTTTTGCTCGTGATTGGACCACAGATTCGTCCGTTTTGGTCTCTTCCAGTGGGCGAATTCCTCAACGGTGTCATCCGTTAATGTCTCAGCGACGCACCACGCAGTCAACAGGCCGGAGGGACGCCATTAAAGAGAGACAGCGCGACAGCTTGCCGCCGTGCGGGCGTCTCGGTGTAACGAGTGACCTCGTTAACTGCGTTTTCTTAGCTACGCCGAGCGAGACGCCGCGCTCGCCTGAAGGTCAGCGGGTAACAAAGGCGGCCGCTTCGGCCGGAACGCCGGAAAAGTGCAACAAGCGGCCATTTTGATGCTTCAATGTCTGAAGCTCGTAGCTCTGGATGACCACCACGGGGTCTCTCTGTGCCGCTCGCTTTCCTGGTTCGTTGTGCCCTGAATTATTCACCATCCCCCCCCCCGTCTACTCCACCTCTGATTGGCTGGTGGTCGCTGCCTTCTCGTCGGCTTATTGCCGGCGTGCACAATCGGTGGAGGGACGGTCGGGTTATTGATTTTAACTCCGACGCGGAGGGTTTTTTATGAGAATGGCAGCCTTCTCGTGAGTGCTCTCATTTATAATTTTTGACGCGGCATCATAATTCACCTTAATGCTAACCTCGACACGGCACACTGATTAAAAACAAAATTGAAAAATGGGCACTTCACATCCAAAAAGGCGGGCGACCCCTCGAGCGGCGGCTGATGCAGACTTTGCCCGTCGTCAGAGGAGACGCTCGTATGAATGACTGGTCAATAAGAAGGTAACTGCGGCATGTAGCCTAATGCTAATTAGCCGCTGAGGCACCTTTACAGCAGTGATTAACACCACCAGAGCACAGGCCGTGTGCTGGGGGGAGCACGAGTTCAGTCCACGGCGACCACAGTCGATAGCATCAAAGGGGGGGGGGGGGGGGGGATAGTATCTGGTGCCGCGGCCCTGTGTGTGGCATCGATAAAGCGTCACATGATACCCGGCACGCGCAGGCTTCAGGGTTCCAGTGACCTCCGCCCGCTCCGAGGGCCCGGAGTGCCGCCGAGGTATCCGTTGACAAGCCGTCCCAAAAACGCCGGCTGAATTCGAGGAAGCGCGCGTCGACACCAATGATTGCGGAAAAAACACACGGCGTGGTTTACTGAGGCGGCCGGTTTCCTCCGCTCATCCAAAGGGACCCGCCAGCGTTTACAGGCAGCCGGCGGGACGACTTACTGGCCCGGTCGACACCTTCGGCGATCGCACGCGTGTCT